AAGCTTGATCAGGTAAAATATTTTTCTGTTTGTCCACCTAGAATAGTACCTGCCACATAGTAGGTGATCAATGAATACTTATGAATTTTTGAGCTAATTCACACTTTCATTCTCAAAAGTTGATTAAATGCCTACCACATGACAGATTCTAAATATCCAATATGAAAAAGAAATTACATTATAAATAAAATAAAACCAACTAATAAGAAATCTTTTTTCTTTTTTGTTAATTAATTTTTTTTGAGAAAAAAATTTTAATGTAGAAAAGTACAAATAAGAGTGTAACAGTCCAAGATTCTGTTAGTTGATTTTCTCTTGATAGTTAAGACTTGGCCATAATTGTCATATTTGCCATAATTGTCTGAATATTTTCTGCTAATAAATAAAGCAATGCTGAAAAAGTTCTATTCTTAGATCCTATCTCCAGTTTTACTGTCATAAATTTAGAGTAAATTATATTTGTAGTGACATGTATATGACGATGCCCAACATATGATGCTGTTTTGTTTGTTTTTCTTTTATAGTTTATTGTCAAGTTGGTTTCCACATAACACTCAGTGCTCATCCCAACAAATGCCCTCCTTCATGCCCATCACTCCCCTTCCTCTCCCCCCGACCCCCATCAGCCCTCAGTTTGTTCTCGGTATTTAAGAGTCTCTTATGGTTTGCCTCCCTCCCTCTCCTTAACTATTTTTTCCCCTTCCCCTCTGGTCCTCTGTTAGGTTTGATGAGAAATCTTCAAATTAGAGGAATCAAGCAATATTATCTCATTCTAAATTTCATCTGAATTTAAACTAGGAAGATAATCCCCTGCCCTGCCCAAGAGGAATGGGAGAGAAAAAATATAGACCAGTATGACACATATGCTAAAATAATATAACACAACACAAAACTCTGATTAAAAATGAAACAGCTGGGTGTAGCTATCAAAAGGTAAGATCTTTGCAATGATAGGACAGCTCTATATCTTGACTGTGACAGTTAGCTACACAAATTTATACATGTGTTGAAAGTGCACATAACTGGGGCGCCTGGGTGGCTTAGTCGGTTAAGCGTCCGACTTTCGCTTAGGTCATGATCTCGCGGTTCGTGGGTTCGAGCCCAGCGTCGGGCTCTGTGCTGACTGCCAGCTCAGAGCCTGGAGCCTGTTTCAGTCTGTGACTCCCTCTCTCTCTGACCCTCCCCTGCTCACGCTGTCTCTCTCTCTCTCCTAGAAATAAAAAAATAAAAAAATAAAAAAATGAATTAAAAAAAAAAGTGCACATAACTAAATACATACACACACACAGACACACACACACACACACACACACACGAGTACATGTAAAACCAGAGAAATCTTAATAAAGTTGGTAAGTTGTACCAATATCAATTACCTGGTGTGATATTGTGCTATAATTATGTAAGATGTTACCACGGAGGAAAATAATTTCTTATAATGGCATACCACTCTAAAATTACTTAAAAATAAGTTGACAAAAGAGCAGAATGCTTATCAAAACATTCTTTATATTAAATATTCAAACCAAGGTAAATGTGTCCAATAAAGAAGTGAACCTATATTACACTATATTAACTAATTAAAAATAATACAATTCTATGTATCATAGAAGCGTGTTCATTACTCAGTAAACAAAAGAAGCAGGATTTACAAAATATGAGAGTACAACTGAATATTGTTAGAAAGTAAGGAGCATTTGTAAAGGTATGCACCAAATGCCACAGTGTCTGTCTCTGCATGGTAGGATCACGGTGGTTTTGTTTTTTATTTTGTCTTCATATTTTGTCATTTTTCTTTTCTAAAATGAACACTATTACCAGAAGAAATATCTAAAATGCTGCCTGTGCTGTGTATGGGGCTTAGGTGAATTCCGTGTAACTAAACAAAAACCAAACCAAGTGGGAAGATCACATGGAAAGCCATTTCAGTTCCATGTAAGGACCAATGAGGTACCTGCACGTGCTCATGACTTCCAGTGAAAATGGTATTCACCAGGGCCCGGTGAATTCCCTATTAGTAAGTATGAGGACAGGAGTCTGGTTTATGCACTGGGAGGTTGGACCCAGCTGCTTTCCAATTTTAAAACTCTGTGCCATTTGATTTTACAACGAATTTAACAGACACCACCTTTCATTTCAAAAGCCCCTTTTATGTTTCAAAGCACTTTCACACATGCTGGTTTATATTCCTTTCAGTACTTAAAAAAATCCTGCCTGCACAACAATTCTATAGAGTAGGCAAGGCAATTATTATCACCTCCATGTTACTGAAGAGAAAACTGAGGTAACCAGAGAGTGATCACTCAATGTTATGGATGAGCTAATAGATTCCATCTCCTTTCCCTGGACTCACAGCCCTACCCCTCTGTCCTCTAACACCACACAGCCTCACTTTTCCCACCAGGTTTTGGAAACGGTTATACTTCACCTAAAGTTTCTTACATGATGCCTGCCAGTTGAAAGAAAACCAACAATGCTTGGCACAGAGTGATAGTAAGTACTGACAGGGATATACCCATCTTTTTGTTTCCACTAACTTACAATGACTCAGTTAATGTCAAGTAACCAATATGTCAACTCAGCTTAAAAATCAAGATTGGTCAAACCAGTTGGTTGCCTTGAACAGCCCAGGAGGCTCATGAATCTAGTTGGGGTTGTTGGTCAATATAACTGCCCTATACCTGTGTCCCCACAGCCTCGGGACAGAGCCCACAAGCAGGGCTTCTGGGCCAGTTAAATAGTGAATAGGGTCCATATTGGACTAATGAAGCAGGGCTTTGTTACTTTTACCAAAGGAATTAACAGAGGAATTCTGTATTTATTTTGCAGTGGCAGAAGATTAAGCACTTGAGCAATAATGTGGCAATTCACCAAAAGAGGTCTTAGTTAGGTGCTATCTGAAATCATGAAATTAAGTGGGAAAACATACACACGGAAAAGGTTTATATGTTTAAGAAAAATAAATCCAAATTTTAGATAAATGATACTCTTCACAAAGCATACCAAACAAATGACATATTTTCATTGGCTGATAGTGTCATTTACACACATATATCATTTTGCATGTGCCAAGCCCTCCTGAGTGCTTCTTCTCTCAACCTCTCCATGAAAGTCATTATAGGAGGAAGGAGAAGGGTCAGCAATGTTAACGTCATTTCCCCTAAACCACACAGCCGCCAAGTGGAAACTACAGGATTCCAACCTAGGTCTGATGACTGCCAAACCAAGGTGCTGCACCATTATGTGTTCTCTGAAACCACTGAAAGTGTAAGTCCTTTTTATAAACAGGAAGCAATGTAAGTTTCCTTCAAAAGGCATAATAAATCACTCCAGGAGATACAGAGTTAATTTGGGATACCTGGAGAACAATGAGATAATCTAGGCTGAACCTCACACATCACTACATACAAGGAGGCAGAAATGGGATTGATGAATGGTAAAGAATAAAGACTGATGGAATCAATGTACTGCTATTGTTAATAAACTATTGATCAAGTTGGTAATGTCACCGATGTTTAAAATACTTTTCTTCTTTAGCTATGTAAAATCCACTTTTCGCCTTGTATCTATTCACTCACTCAATAAACAGTGACTGAACATTTACCATATGCTAGGCACTGTTCTAGGCAGTATGATAATCACAGTGATACAAACTGATGAAAGTTCCAGGCTTGGTGGAATTCACATAAGCTCCATGAGAAAATAAGATAGTAGAAAGGGAACTTGAGGTAGAAGATTTTGGTTTTAATCCTAGCCAGATGGCCTTAAGCAAATTACTTGAAATCTCTCTAAATCTCAGGTCCCTTACTTCTACACTGAGGATAGTATGTTTTTATTATATATTACTTTATTAGGAAAAAGGCGAGTTTACACAGGAAAAAAACTACTTATTCTTTCATCTTGGAGAAACTGAGGTAGTTGACAAGGAATAAAAATTTTGTCCTCATTATTAAATCCTTCAAAATATTTCATTCCATATTTTCCATGATCTAAGCTTTCTGGGTTTAATGTTAACCATGTGTAAGACTTGTGGGGTCAGGATCAGGTCATGCTTCCATACCTAGCCACCAATTTCAAAGTCTATGTTACAGGCTTAAGATGGCATAATTATGTACATTTCCCTTATTGTGGAAGGAAGTTAAATTTAAATTATTTCTTGGTGATTATTTCATCTTAGCTTTTAGAGAGATACTGCTTCTTGCCTACTTCTTTAGGAACAGATCCATAGCAAGTGATTATTTCTAATATCTTTGAGTAATTTTCTTTCCTATATTCTTCCATGGTGATATTATTTCATTGTAAGAATGCAATAGTAGCTAAGTAGAGATGGGTGTATCATAGGCCCACAGGAAGGATCACTGCCCAGCAGGAGGACACACTTTATTGATTATATCAAAGAAAATGATTGGTTCCAGTCTCTCCTTACCCCTGACCTACCCTACCCTCGGGTGAGGAGGAGGGAGTGGCAGGGGATTTCCAAGTGTGTTTTTATCAGCCCAGCAAATCAGACTCCTTGCTTTCTAAACAAAGAGGTGCCAACCTTGAGATGCAATGAAAGCCAACACAAGCTACGCATTGTACACATGTGAAAAGAACATAATTAGCAAAGTTATAGTCACAATTAGGAAATACCTCCTCAGAAAGGTTTCCAATTAACTTTGAGCAGCACTCAAATTACTATTGTGCTTAAGGAGGCCTCTGACTCTTGGCCAGCTCAAACCTTTGAGACAAATCTAAGAATAACAGCGCAGTCCACAAAACAGACACACAAAATTTAATGCTAGATTTTTTTTTTTGAATAACCAATCAGAAAAATGTGCAAATTGGGACATGGAAGCTATATTAAAAAAATAAGAAACATGGTTACAGAAATTAATAGTCAAGTGTTGGCTAAATTATTCTTTCTTCAAGCTCTTTCTTCATCTTCTCTAGCCTTCCCTTCCCCATCCCTAAAGAAAAGTTAGGAGAGAGAAACTAGGAAAACAAAAATGGGTACTCACTTCATCTCTAGGATCTCCTCCAGCTGTTTTCTCCTTTCTATTCGGAGGTTAGCCAAATGGGCTTCTTTTTCAGCCAGGGACTGCTGTGTGGAGGCCAGGCGTGCCTTGGTGGCATCTAGTTCCTGTCTAGTCTTCTCCAATGCATTCATCAGTTCCTCTATCTGAAAGGCACATGGAACATGGTACATTATTTCTCCTTCAGTCAAGCACAAGGCCTTCTTTGCTAGTCTGTATTCCAACAACAGACACAAAGGAATCCTAGCCATTCTTGAACAGGTACTGTATCTTAGAGCCCATTCTTTGTCACTGGTTGAAAATAAATGTTTCAAACACAAGAAATATCCAAATTTCTTCAAGGTCCTCATTCAAATAGATTGTCCAATAACCTTTATAGAAACTATTTAATATATTTATTAGAAGTAGAAGGTAACTGGCTTGACCCATTTTCAACCTGTGTTTGGCCAAAGTCTCAGATACTGCCTCACAGTTGGCGGAAGGCAACACTCAAAATGCATTTGCCCAGCACAATATACTTTTGTGTGTAGGCCCCAGAGTATTCTGAGAGGAAGTTAATCTACGTGTTTCAGATTCATTCATGTTTTAACCTATCAAAGCCTTGTTTGGCAAAAGCGATTTGATGTCCAAGGGGCCTCAGGAGCCCCGTCTCACCTCACTTTCAGGAAGCAAGGTTTGGCCAAAGGTAAACAGAATTCCAGCCACAAAAGGTTCAAGTTTGGTTTGCCCCTGAAGTTTGAGAGGGTTCTAAACTTGAAATAAATGACATGTAACTTTTATAGGGTGCTAATACACCATAGAAATAAGCCAGACTATCAAATATCCAGGATTTTTAGCCAGGTCCCAAAAAATTGGACCAGGGAGCCCCGAGGCAAGGCCTTATCCCCCCCAAACCATTGGGAGCTTTTAAAAGCCAACACACAACAAAGAGAGCTGGTGTTTATGGTTCTGCGCCAGAGACTTCCGTGGAGCAATCCAGTGAAATGCCATCTTTTGCACAGATGCATGCCGCATCCACCCTGCTGATTTAAAACCATGGTTCCAGGAAGTTTCTAGATTCCAGAGTTGATGTTTGGGTTTCTAAGCCACCCCCCTTCCAGCTGAACTTGGCAGAATGGGATCATCCATCACTAAAGTCAACAGAAAGCCCTTCAAAATGTGTCAATGACATGTTAAGTTCCAATTCATAAAGACTTTCTACACAATTTCTTCAGTTTTACATGGAATTTATTCAGAATAAGCATTATAGTTCACATCCAAGGTAAATTACATGCTTTTAAGATTCAGAAAACCGTCTATTTTTCCCTGATAAAAAGAGGAATTTGATGACCATGTAATGTAAATCAAAGCCAAAACCAAAAAGAGTTTAAAAAACAAGGAATATGAGGATTAACCATGAAAGTCCCAGAACTACACCTGCTTAATTGCAGAATAAATACTGTATTCTTTAGCTTTAGAAACATACAAAATTTAAAAAGCAATCATAATTTTTTCTCACATAAATTTATAGAATATTAGAAATATGTTTAGTAGCCCTTCTATAAAGCAGTGCTTGGTGAGACTGAAGCAGGTTTTTTCCTCCTCTCCCTCTGCCCCTATTTTTGATAGCAATGTAAAAAAATATCAGAATTATGGTCATTCCAAGTGCCAACAAAGATTCAGTCTGTCTAACCCTCTATGGCCTGTGTCTTCATGATCCTGTTTCCTTTCATAAATCGCTCTCTATTCCAAATGCACTATTGATCGCAGAGAACAGGGAGAGTATCCAGGATTCTCACTTGCTAAATCTCTCTCTCATAAAGTTGAAACTGATCTGTCTGCAATCCACACACACACAGCTACTCAACTGGGTTTCCCAGTTCTTAGTTCACCTGCCACTTTACTATTTGGGGCCAGTCTCAGCTAGTTTTATATTAATCCAACTATAACAATTATGCTTTAGAGTAATGACTTGCAGGCTTCCCTGGCCATTTCAGCAATAACCACATAGAGAAACACCTAAGAGATGCAGCCCAGAGTTTTTACTGATGAGATGCCACTGGCTTCCAGCATCAATAACTCTTAGTGTGAGGTGAGACTCCTATTCTCAACACTTTGCAACCAGAGTCTCTAACAGTTTCCTAGGCCTAGGCTTCCCACTCCTCCAAATTCATACACTCCAGGCCAGTTAGCATGGCACACTGAAGACCACCGGGGCCACTGGCCTCAGGTACACAGTTCTAGTCTTCACACAGTCGCTGTTTCTCTCTCTGACTTTGTACAAATGACCACTTGATTCTTCGAGCTACAACTTTCTAGGTGATACCCATGATACCTCCTCTTTCCTTTGCTACCACAGCAGGAGCTTTAAAAAGAAATGTTTTCCCTGTTATGGTTAGCAATATTCCAGTTCTTTTCCTCAGTGACACATGGTAGGGACACACTCCCCTCTCCCTTTTAACTGGGGTGGGGCTTTGGCCAATAAAATCATTGTCATTTCCAGGTAGAAAAATTTAAGTGCTAGTCAACCCCAACTTTCCCTTTTCCCTGTGACTATAGAAGCATGTTTCAGATGATGCCTCCTTCAGCCTGAGTCCCTGAGTAACCACAACGAAGAAGCCCAAAGCCAACCCACATCACATAAGCAAGATCGAAACCTTTGTTGTTCTATACCATGAGATGATGGTCCATTACCCAGCCTGGACTGGTCTGCTTTGACTGATCAATTGTCCCAATTCTTATCGAGTTCTCTCCACCTGCCTCCCCACCACCAGTCCCCTCTCACTAGGAAACGACATTGCTTTTCACTCTTGCTATCCCATGGAAACTCTACACTTGTAGGCCACTAGTACGCCACATGTCTTTTCCTAATGTGTAGTTTGCACAGACAACTTCTTCCCCTCATTTGAAATAAACTTTTACTGGCTATGAATATGTAGCTTGTGCCTTAAAAAAAACACATCAGATTAGAATCACAGTTCATCATTTACTGTGTGGCTGATACAAGTTCCTTCATCTCTTTCAGCTTCAGTTTTGTTACCAGGAAACAGGGGTCCATGCTGCTTATTCTGTTCCATGTTTGTGGGCATTAAGTGAGATGATGTAGCCTACACATTATTTATTCCTCTTCTACCTATCACCAATAAAATGATTTTTTTTTTCTGACAGAGTAAAATACACTCATTGTACAAATTGTAAAAGATCAGATATGAACATTTAGAATTTCTCTTTTTAATTCAGATTAAATAATGATATTCTTTTTCATTAAGATCACTTGATTCCACCTGGATATAAATAAACATTTTATTATAATTTCTCCAGTCTCTCTCTCTCTCCATGTATGTATATGTATAACCGGGATGTTATATACAACTTTCTAAACAGTTTTCAATAAATGGATCACAAGAATTTTCCTCTTGTTGTTAGCCTCTTGTAAACACAGGGGCCATATCCACCCCCATTTTCTTAAAACCAACTCTTCCCTGGGGTTCTCTGAAGCTCTCTTTTAGATTGGGGACCTACTTCCCACATTTCTTTTGTAAATTCTTCATCTTCCTGCAGCCTATAATTGGATCCTTCCTCTTATTACTAGTTATTATTACTCATTAGTAGAGACATTTTCTTCACCCATGTGGATCCTTAGGAGAATTGAGGTCTGTCTTCATAGCTCTCATCTATATGCAGATACCTTTCCAAACTTTACCTTTTATTCACTTGACCTCTTTCACATATACCTAACCACCTGTTGATCACTCCCATTTGAATGTCCTAATGCCACTTTAGATTCACGATGATCAAAAGCCAACTCATGATCCATGTACACCTGCCTAAACCAAATCCTTATTACCCTTTCCTGCCCTCCCAACGTGCCACTCCCTAACAAACCCACAGGTCCAACACCCTGACCTTTTCTCAGTCACTCATGTTTAAGACCTCAGAACCACATTTGTCTCTTTCTTATCCTTCCTCATGTATTTTCCATTTATCATCAAGTCTTAACTCCTCTATTTTAGAAATTCTTCTGGGATCCATCATTTTCTACTATCATTACTTTTGAAGCCTCAAGCTTAGGTCCCTTCCCCTCCCACATTTCTGGAGGCATTGAAAGTAACTTGTGAGTGTGAGTGCGAGTGCGAGTGCAAATGTGTGTGTGCGTGTGTGTGTGTGTGTGTGTGTGTGTGTGTGTGTTCCTAGGCTTTGTCTCTATCCATAAGGACATGGCTTTGCCTGATCAGCTTCTCCCCATCATAGTGTTTCTCTCAGCCAGGTCCATTGCTGGATTTTAGGACATGGAATTAGCCAATGGGTAGCAAAGTCAACTTGAGAAACTAAGCGCAAAGGTACAGGACTTTGAAACACAGGCTACAATGTTCTACATAATAAAAAGTGGGAGAAAGAAGTCAGAGGGGAAAGAAGAAGAATGATCCTTGAGATTTGGGACAGAGAGAAGTTTGTTTTGTCTTAAGGGCAAAATAAAGGAATTGCAAAGAAGAGAAAAAGGGAAGGAGGAAAAAGTTGCTAGGGGTTATTCCTGGGGCCCCTTCAATGTTTTCCAAAGACACAAACTGAAGAATTGGACGACCCTTTTGATTTTTTCCAGCTGTTTTGACTGTGTGTGTTTGAATGTGTCTTTTAACTGGGTCCCTTGGGTCTGGGATTCAAAGATGTCCCACAGAACTCACTGTCACAACTTACCCCTATGCCAAGACAATATGCCTAAACCACCAATATTTTGTCAAAAATATCACTGGCCTGGCTCCAGCATCTTAAGGAGCTCCCAATTACCCACAGTAGTGGCTTTCAAACTATGTTCCTTAGAGCAGCAGGGGTTCCCCAAGGGCACCTGGAGGCTGTAAACAGGTCATTGGCATGGGAGAAGGAGCATGAATTAGCAGAGATCTTTATCCACCATCCCACATTCACAGGGAGTTGTTCTACTTACTTTTGTTTTATATCCAGAATTCCACTCAGGATTTAATTTGAATTTTTTTAAAAAAGCTTAACATATTTTAAAATACTGAGAATGATTAAAAGCATGATTATGAAGCTAGAGTGTACTAATCATAACTGTTTTACCACGTATTAGTCATAAAACTTTGGGAAAGGGTCTGAATCTTCCGATCTCTAACAAAAGTACTTCTCATAAAAGTTACTACAAGTATTCAGT